TCATCTGATGCGACGATATACAGGCTAGATGTAAATTCCCACTTGTAGCACTCTAAGGGATTGGGGGGCTGGGTGATAGGGCTGGCAATTAGTACACGCAATGTACCTTTTCTCATCTCTGAGCGGTCAGTTTGGTGACTACCAGGAAACCACCCGCAGCTGTTATACATTCCACAGACCGCAAATTATTAAGCAATGATACGGTTCCCTCTGAGATTGACCATGTGCTAAAGGAATACTAGCTCATCTTACTTTCGTGATGGCGGGCACTTGGTATTCTAGCATTTCGACCCTTTGACCCATGGATTGCAGCGATAGTCACATCAACTTACATTGGGTAGCAGACGGTGAATTACACCGGAGTCAGCTACACTGGTCAATTCTCGTATGAAATGCATTTGGCCGGAAGGCATTAATTAGCAGGGGGCTCGCAGTCGCACAAGAAAGTCCGTTTTAACACCAAACCCTGAATGCCCGCGAGGTACCCCTCCAGAAACGTTCTGGTGTCATTCATACAATGCTTCTGTGCTGGCATATAAACAATGACCTGTGTCCTATTTCCCACGGTATTGCAAATCTGCATTCCCAGCGTCAGTTGGCACTCGCCAATCAAGGTCGCGTCACCAGCTGCTTCTTGACTTTGTGTAGATGGCCCCTTCTCAGAGCCGCGTTAAGCAGGAACAGCTTCGAAAACGCCGTAATAACCTGCTACGGCGGATTAATGATTTTTGGCGGCTGTACGCCATCCGCAGCTGGGCCATCCTGGAAATGCCGAACCGCCGGATTTACACCTATCAGTCCCATCCTCATCTTCCCGCACCGACTGCTGAAGAATTGGTAAGCCGTGCTGCTCTAAATATTTGCCTTGGGCTCTGACAAGCCCAGGAGGACTGGCCCCAACCAGTCACTCACAGAACTCCTGCTGATTATACTACACAACCGACGACTAACGTGGCGATTCCACACCCACCCACGTTCAACATCCTAGGACGCCAGTACGACGGCTGGGATTCTGTTTTCACCAAATGTGGAGTATATTAGTTAGAACCATAATACCAATAGAGATTCTATTTATCAGACATGCCATTCAAACTCGCAGGCAGGGATATGGGAGGTGTAGAGAAGATTCTGTGACAAGTGGCTAGAAGCACCGGGGGCACTCCGAAAAGAAGTAGGCGTCTCGTAGGCCTGATGGCTGGCAGAATATTAACGAGTATAATGAACTTAGACGACGACTAGTGCATGTACAATGATGCATCTATTGGGAAAAAATGACTGTCACTGACCGATAATATCGTACTGCTTGACACGGAGTGCAACGCGAACGTGTCGTGTCACATATTTGAACTCGTGAAGAGGAAAGCAGTTTGATATAAGTTATATCATCATTATGCGCTATGCAGATCGGACCACTGGCGTGAGGAACAAGTTTGTGCCCGTCCTCGAGTCCCCAATGTTGGCATGGGACCTAAATCGTGGTCATACATTCCGCACGAAGACCGCAGATGCAATTACATGTACTTTAGGGCAGCCGCTATTGAAATCTTGTTTCATTTATTCAAGCTCACACACTACGTACAAGCAGGAAGCGCATGATTGATTACAATTGATCGTCCAACTGTGTCTGTAGGTTGGCCACGCGTATGAGAGCGAAAATGATTTCCAGTTCTACGCAAACCCTGCCAGCACCCAAGTGATCGACACTTTGACAAGGGATTATTCCCCCGTGTTCAAGAATGATTGTCGGTCGACGTAGGCGTCCTGGTACGCATTTCCATCTCATGCTCCTCCTCGACCTTCTTTAACAAGACGTATTTATACAGAACCGTCAGCGATAACGAAACTAAAAAGGCACTTCCGACCATCACCGTGGTGACCAGAGCCATGATAGACCAAGTGGCTGATTGCGCGGTGTATACATTGATCAATGTTGTAGCGAGGCCCGCAGCTGCATTCATCGCAACCGGCCTAAACTTTAGTCAGCTTTCATACGGAACAATCGGTGTACAGATACATAGCTGGGTATGCGTACATAAATACCCGACCGACGAGCCAAATGTAATTGCTGCGCCATTTCCAGCAAAGCCATGTCAGAAGCGTAGTCCCTATCGCGAAGAACACACAGGCAATCGCGAGGAGGGGCGGGTTCTGAATCTTATTCAACACGGCCTTGTTAGCACCGCTGCCAATTAGAGCCTGCTCGAGTTTTTCCGACTTCTGCAAGGAAGTGAATGTTCCAGGAATCACTAGATATCCTGCAAGGAGCACCCAGTGTGCGACGCTGGCAATGATGTTGTAGACCCACGGCATATGGTCGACTTCCAACAGCATCTCTATATAGCGAGTGTGCCCGGCAATGGACGCCGGACTCGAGGCGGACACTGTGACTGAGTTTGCCGGAGAAGGTGTGCGGGAGTTCATGGCCGCGAGAATCGTTAGCCGCTCTGATACGTCGCACCCGGCATCACCGTATCTTAAATACCTTTGGAGTATACCTTCCCATATTATAGTTGAAAGCAGCATATGGTAAGTGGACAAAACACCAAAGCGGCGGCATGGAGATATTGCTGCCGCGAGGGCTGACCGGCAGTGGCGTTGTAATCAGCCATACCGCCACATTCTTGCCTTGGGTCCCAAAATCTACGGTGATACAGTAGTCTTACAGTACTGTGCTGTGAGCGAATCCCTCAGTTCCTTGACTGCTTGCTTTAACATCCTGTATTCTATAAATGAGAGAATAGTTCGTATCCTCGAGTTTTAAAGTAAGAGTAGCCCAAGGGGTTGCGGACCGATGAGCATAGCAGCCAGCTGAAAAGAACACGGGGATATGGCTGATTTGACAGATAGCGATAGTACGGTAGTCGTCTGCATATCACCGCTAGGGACGAGGATTTAGCGGACGATTACATAACGAACTAACTGATCCACAACATCATATTCTACTACATCTGTCAAGTTCGTACAGTACCAGTTCGATGGATGGCTCATGCGCGTGCAGGTTAGTAGTGAAAGCCGTACTCCTGTCGAAGTTGGACGATTCCGGGTTACCAGAATTGGTGGTAAATTTGTACCATAACTTGCAATGCTGTGAAAGCCTTGAGCATGGACTTTTCAACATCCGTTATGACTCTGGTTCGAGTAGTCAACCGCATGTATAATAACTGCGACTCTGTGTTATGTACACACACACACAATTCATTAACGCCCGGCGGCTCAGCCGAAAGGGCAACTATCACTAATTTATCAACACGAAGTCTAATGTACATCTGCGGTATCTCCTTCGAGCCCATACATAGATCCTCTTAGTATATGTCCTCTCAGATGTCACTATCGTAGAAATCCCTGTGGGTTAGTATATTTGTTAGTAGACTGGCTTGAAGGCGCTTCTTCAAGTGTTCAACATCCTATCCTCGGCAGTTGAAGCGCGTCTACCATCTGCGGCACAGGGTGGTTGGTGTAGGTTAGTTAGGAGAAGGGTGTCAATGTCTTGGTTGACATGGTTAGGTGGCGTCGAGTCGGCCCGTAGCGATGGCAAATCGTATTGAGGCTCGTACTGCCTCCAAGTTCGGCGTCCATTGCTGATCATCGGAAGGCGATTTCCCGCCCAGGCAGAGGGAGAGATTGCCCCGGTGAGTTCGAGAACATTGTAGCAGTGTCATCCGTTGCGTAGTCCACTTCCGACACCGGAAGAGAAAACGCTCCACGGTCTCTCTTGCTTGCCCGCATGCACACTGGTCTGTCTGCGCGACATTGATCCCGTAAAGATATCCATTTAATCTTGCCATGCCGGTCCGGAGTTGAGCCAGCACGGTTGCTTCTTTCCATGATAATCCATCACAGCTGTCGGGTGTGCATTCCAGGAAGTGCTGCATCCACTCGTTTGACGTGTCTCCCTACGTCCTCTGGCAAGGCTTTCCTGGTGACTGCTTGGGATCGTGCGAGATTCAAGGTTGTTGACTTCATTCTGGGAACCTGTGCTTGTGCGATAGCGTCCTCGTGGGTCGCGGCCCTTGCCTGCTCCTTAGCTAGGCCCAGTAATCTGTCGTCTTCGCTAGTAGGGACCCAAAGAATCTTGAGATGGTTACCTTTTCTCCGCAGTCTGTTTATCAACTTGTCGTCTGACAGACGAACTCCTGGCCTGACTGTTGTCGAGGGCTAAGAGACATATCTACACAGCCAAGGTTGCCCGTGGCCAAGCCTTAACGAGTCCTTGCAGCTGGTGTAAAGCAGCTTCGACAGGGCCTGCTTGTTCAGGCCACTGCCCCGGTTTTCAGTCCAAACTAATGAAGAGCAGAAGGGGTGGATGAAAAAACCGCCGGCGATGATGATGTCGACCTCGTCGATGCCTTCGGGGAGCCGAGTGTAAATGCCCATATTCTTGGATTGTTGGATGTGATGATGCGGGGGATGGTGATGGAATCAAATCACGCGCAGTAATGGGATCATGCTAGGCTTTATAGCTCCGGATCGATCGCCCAGCTGGCATCAACCCCGCGGGATGTTTGTGACGCATGAATCCCTGTAAGCCTCTAGTGCCAACCACTTGATTTTGGTGGACAAGGCTGCCTGGCTTGTTACCCACTACCTGCGGTCAGCAACAGGCGAGTGTCTCAGCTATGGCTGGAGGTTTGCGAGCGGGCTATACAGCGCCCACAGCTAATGACTAAGTTTATTCTGGGTAACATTGCGTTACGCCGGGTGAGATGGTCCCTAGCTTGCCGTGCGCTATTTTAGGTGATGGATGCTACTTCGCTTGTGCGCCATTTGCTACTCCAAATCTTACTATAACTCGAATCTTGCTATGATGCACTTTCTGTACTGCACCTTTAGGGTACTTACAAAGGCTTATTAGCAATATTATTGATCGAGAAGAAAACAGTTCTATCTTGCTAACAGTAAAGTATGACGACCGACTTTATATTGTTGATTTGAGCCCCCGGGGAGGTTCGCGTGAACAACGTACTTCTTTCCTCTTGATCAATATACTCTATAACTATAACAAGTGTTTTGACACGTGTTCGGGTGTTCTTTCCGTGGTATGGTCTTCAGACGCCCTGTTGCCTCCCATGCACGCAGCCAGATCGCCTCGAAGACTGGGTGCGTCGCTTCCATCCGCTTGGAAAGAAGATTGATCCGCACTTGGCAATCTCGTAGTGACAGTGTCAATATGTCCTCTAGTTGAACACCAACTTGTAGCTCGCGTATTCGGTGTCGCCACTGAGGCATTGTGCCACCGTCATGTTGTGCTAGCCGGAGGAGAAACAGTCGTTTTTGTTGAAGATTTACACTACTAAGATAGTCCGTAAAGCACACGGAAACTCTGTCGATAATGGCTTACCACTACAGCCCGCAACATCTAATGGAATCATGATACTGTAGGGGTATAGGTACAATATATGCCATGCAGCCTCAGTTAAAATAACTCATGAGGCACAATTTTGAAGCGTTCCTTGATCAATCATCAAGCCCACATTAGTTCATGAACAGTCAAATTCAGAAGAGCCCAGTCAAGCCATTATAGCCCAGAATGTACGATACAGTGGCCAGAGCCATTGTCCTCAAGGGCGTACCAGAGCAGATTATAGAGTTATTAATGTGTTCGCGTACGCATGAAAACAGGCAAAGTGCAGTAGCAGGCATGTATTACCAATACCAAGAGAGATGTTCATACAGACACATACATCATAAATTGGAGAGTTGCTTGCAGGTTACCGAAGAGTCATGAGTAACAGCACAAAGCGCAGCACACAGTATCCGCCGCTGTATCAACCATGATACATTTACCATTATCATTGTCGCCACGGTGACGACCCCAGGATCAGGAAGGATTTCGGGGCGTAGCCAATTCACTAGATTGACAAGGCCCGTGACAATGTAAAGCTCGGCGAGTAGTACACTGTCTCGCTTAGACAGTAGCGACTGGTTGATACATCGGTCGTCGTGGAGAAGGTAGAGAACCAGACATAGACTGATTCCAAAGAGTATCCCGTTCCGAACCAACACAGGGTACCGCGGGTCAATATACACCAGGACGCCTTTTACCACAAGCACGAAACATGTGTACCGGTTCGAACGAATGCCCATATGTAAGATGGTTTCTGCGGCTTTGGATCCTAGATGCTAGAGCAGGTGAGTATGGAGCTCGACTTAAACCACCAAGCCCAACGTACCTGAATTCATGTGTCATCCACGATACTATATGCCCTGTAGTGCAGGAGTCAGATGACACCTTTTATAGCTTGCCTGGGTGGTTAGAGTATGCTTATTCAGCGTACCCCCTCCCTCGTTAATTACTGTGCGGGAGAGTCATATCGCGGAAGATAAAGGAAACGCTCGCAAGGAACCCTTTCTTTGGGGGCAAAATCAAATCTAGGTTGATCAAATCTAGGTTTGGAAACACATTGTTAGTAAATTGGCCCTATGAGCGCCTGGACCACATTGTCGCCATGGCTACATGGCTACATGGCTGTCTTTCACCAAGTTTTCGCGTCACAAAGCTGCGCCAGATCCCACGTTACATCCGAATATGCCGGTCACCTTTGACAAAAAAAGACCAAAACTCAAGTTTGTGGCTTCGATGGGTTCAAAGGCTGAGGATAGTACCAGCAGGGGGAGGGCGCGACACACCTTGGCGTCACATCCCGCGTCTTTGACTCGCGGACATGATGAAGACCCACTTCACCGAACCACTGAAGTTAAACTGTTCAACTGCGCAGCTGATTCGTCCAACTGCCAACGCCATCCGCGAGCAGATGCAGCTACGGGTGGAAGTTTGTTTAGACAACTATCCCTTTATCTTGGGATCGACAGACCACGTTACCCTGCAGCTGCCAGCACCAACATTCTCTCTCGAATGAACTCCCCTTATATACGGTGACCGACCAGGGTGGGGTCAAACTATGTGCAGTCGGGCTATTCCGCCTGCCCGCAACCCAGAACTGTTGTAGTTCAAGAGAAGCTTGATTATTATTATTCAGAGGGAGACATGAGGCTATATATAAACAAGAACAATTCCCTGACCCGAGTTGTCGGGCGGTCAGAAGACGGGTGACTTCGTCCATGGAAGCGATACAGATAGATACCATAGAGCAACAAAATAATGAGCCCATAAGGGAATACAGGCTGTTCAGAATCGGCCCTCCAAACTCTTATCGCATGCTAAAAGGGACCCAGTAATGCTCTCCGTAATAAAATTCCCAAGATGTATTGTGAACAAGACGCTCTGGATCCAGGATTCTTCTAAGATCCACTGGATTTGTCCCGAAAAACACCCTCCGATCTCCATGGGGTGTCCGGCTCCCGCTCGTCTCTCGGCCACACAAACATCCGAAGCCAACACTCGGCGTGATCGATGGCCTGCATGTATGAACGTATGACTTCGCAGATCTGCTGTCGGCACCGTTCGAGGTTGCCGAGGTGCACTCCACAGGAGGAAGGAAGAATGGCAAGACAGCGCCCCATTCTAACGTGTACTTATGAACGACCGTAAGGTGCATTTCTAATCAATCCACGGCGTATGACAGCATGGCAGAGGCATACCGCAAGACATCCTCAAGGTGCGTACAAAAGCGGAGAGCCGGTAGCGGTGGCGTAGTGGTAAGCGCTCCGAGGCAACTTCCAAAGATGCGGGATTGGTAAAATGGCTTTTTGGAGGTGGTGGGTCGATTCCTATCGCCGGCACCACATCTACTACAACCATGGAATTCGTTCCCCCAATAGTACCCAACCCTTGCCCCTTATGGCAAGGTGGCGAGGAAGAGAAACAATCACAAGCCTCGACGAGGCTCTGAATGCGTCAGAGAAGGAATAGTTTACATGTATTTAGAGAGATAGCCATATAGTGGACACCTGCATAGCGCCGACGGAGTCGGAAACCTGAACTGAGGTACAAGTGTGATTATATTTTACACTATCGACGGGGGCAGTACAACTATTTATAGCTATAGTGCTGCCTTGTCTGGCCTCCCGCATTTCCTGATCAAGCTACCGCTGGTAGCCTGTCAGTTCTATGCAAGACACACATCATAATCGGATATCACATCGTATCATCTGACCTGGGATCCAAGTGACGGCGAGGGGTCAGTGTATTAAAGCATCATCATCATCATCATCATCGCCTGTACCAAGGGCCAGGACCTCAGCCTGTCCCATCCCCAGACTAGGCGGAAAAGGGTCGCAGCTGACGGTCGCTCGCTTCATCGCCAGAGGTCACACCTCGCCAGGCATGTGGCCATGATGGGGTCCATAATATGCGAGCTAACAACCCTCAGTCTATCCGCTGCGCTGTGTCCAGCAGTCAATGACCACAGATTGCATTGCGAACAGGTTTGCCGTCATTCCAATGCTGTGTTAATGATTTGGGCTGCACATCACTAAGTGGCTGACCTGATCACGATGTCTTGTCGCTGACCAACGTCGTATTCGCAGATCAAACCGTTTTGAACGAGATCGTTTTTTATTTTTTTTTTTTTACCTGCTAGCCGGGCAAAGAGCATCATGTTTCGTTGCTCGTCCTATGCCGAGACCAGTAGTTCAGGGCCAGGGATTGCGTGATCGACGAGGCCAGCCCCCACACCCCCCGAAAACGAAGCTGGGTTATTTGCGAAACGGAAGAAGAATAATCCTGTAGAGGCTATGCCCTGAATGGTAAGTATTAAATCCCGGCTGTGGACTGGAGGCCAAGAAAGCCACAAACCTTATTCGAGGATGTCGGTTGACCGTGGTCTAGGGGTTCCTAGGCAACGGTCAACGAGAGAAAAAGGAAGCGACCCATTCGGGGCAATGCCATTTCATTCGTCCGCAGTGGTGACTCATGAAGTCTTGATGCTACAGTACCTTGGTGCTACATTGGTTCCAAGACCGGGGTCATTCGTGGAAGACTGCAACTAGAATGCATTCCAATCTTGTCTCTCTGCTTCCTGGGTTTGATGATAAAGCGTGCGTCTAATGAGGTATTCTATATATACCAAAATCATAAGCCAATGCTTGGCTATCCGCAATCATCCAAACATGTTTCATCGAGATTTCGAACCTCGTGTGAACAGACTATCCGAAGGATCGTAACGTACTGGGTAATCAACTGATCTCGCGAACGATAGGAATCAGCCGTCGTCGTGCTCTGCTAGGCCGCTTTCATGCGCAGTTTCCACCACTCGCTCGGCCCTGGGCTGGTTTCCCAGGATGCGTTGTCGTCCAGTCTGGTATCGTACGACTTGCGTGGCCAATCATTGAATGAGTGACTCTTGTCAGTGAGCAAAATCCTGGTCGTGCATGTCTTTTGCGGTAAGTAGCTCCGACTTTGCTCTTCTTACATGGTCATGTGGTCCTGGGCATTTTGTAGGAGAAACGCCCACGGAGATGACAGGGCAGTCCCTCATAGGTACTTTTTGACTGCATGACGGTCATTGTAACAGAAACCGACGGGGCTGGGTGCTATTGCTGCGCAGTCAATCTTCCCGGCTTGCCGTAGCGCTTGGAGATACAAGGCCGGCGTTTCCCAAACAAGGGGCAACCCAGCGACACCTGGACAAAAATCTGGGAATCCGGGAATCCAGGAGCCGATGGATGGGAAACGGGGCTCTCGTGATGAGCTTCACGATAATGACCAGAGATGGTTGTGTTGTGTTCGGAAGACACAAAATTCCCCGCTGGTGCTTGCTGGTGCTCGGTGGTGCTCGGTGGTCAGTTTGCGAGACAGAAATGCCCCATCATGCCGACATCTTTTCACCGCGCATCAAGATCTGAATCCTCCAATCCTGCGTTGGCTTTGGCGCAGCATGACTCGGCTCCACGCTCAAGAGGAATTGACCAGGCTGAATGCGATCATGCATTTCCAGAGTTTATGATGGTTACCCTTTGAAGTGCCTAACCATGGTCTTGTGAGACCACCCAGTGGAGGAGCTACATGACCTGTAGACCAGGGGTGCGGGAATTGGGTAAAGAATGGCCAAAAGATGGTGAAATGATGGGGGAAAACGGTCAAAAGATTCGCCGAGTAGACATGGTCAAGTAAAGTTGGTATACCGTTGTCTTTGGGTACGCGAGTGTGCCACGGGGATCTGCTGGGGCGTTGATCCGTTCAGAGGACGCAAATTTACCCAGGCGAGCACGTCTTTTCACCGCCCTCTGGTCCGGCCCTATGGTCGATCGTTGTTGCCTTGGGCCAGCAACATTTGCTGGGGCTCGGGACGGACCGAATTTAGTCCTTT